CCAAGAGGGCTTTTTGCAGTCCATCCTCTTTGGTGTACTTAATTACTCTAGGCAGTGTATAAAAAGGAAATGATGCCAGTACTAGATGACATCAGTCACAGGAAAAAGTGATTGAATCTGTATTGAAATTAAGATGTTATGTGTGGGATCTTATACTTCTATAGGTTTTTAGGCCATCTGCTGTTTAAAGGGCCATATAAAAATATTCCTATACTCCCAAACTTAATAGCCAAGGGTTTAGAAGGAAAAACGAAGGCTCCTGTCTACTGCTGTGCCTGTGTATTTCATAGTGTTTCCTGTGTTGCAAGAGTGGATACTATAACTGTGCAAATCACACAAGCACGTGTCAAATACGGGGTCTGATTTTCAGCACCAGAATTCGGGATTTCTGAAGCAGAAAAGAAGCACTTTTCAGATGGCCACAGGAGATCCCTTGGCTTCCCTGTCCCCAAGCCAGTAGATGGCAACATCTCTTGGTTGGAAATCCAAGATACTCCATGCAATTCACCATGTCTGTTGGCTGGCTTTCCTGTCCTGCTTGAATCTCTTTATAAGACTTCTTTCAACCCAGCTCCACCATGGTAACACAGAGGATGCAATTAGCACTGGAGTCCTTAGTCATCTACTAGGCAAACCCAAACATGTGCTTCCAGCAGGGTTTTAAATAGCTGCCCAGGCTGGGGGCCCATTGTTTGATAGCTCAAATGTGAATGCTGAAAATAGGAGGTTTGGGCAGGATTTCCACTTTTAGAGGAGTAGGAAATGAACTCATCTTTTATTAAAGCTCTGTGTTAGGGGTGTTTTGTCTTTGTGTGTGCCTTGTGTAATGAGAAAAGCTCTGAAAAGTTTTGTTGCTGCCCTTTTAACCACACCCCACATCAAAGCTGTAGGTACCAATTAGATGGACAGGTCTAAGGCCATACATTAACTTGTCTGATAATGACTTATAACTTCACCTTTTCTCCTGCGCATTGCTTTACATTGTTATCGTGTAGAGGAGGCAGTGTTATCATACTGATGCTCATTTCTTTGAGCATAAGTACAGAGGTGAGAACTCCATATCTCCATTTCTTGTTCTTGTGTCCTTCCCAAAGCAAGCTTCAGTGGCCCAGTAAGGAATTCTTTACTTGAAGAGTTGTGGTCTCATTTCAAACAGTACTTAAAGTGTGGTTTTATGTGAAGATGAGGGTTTTGCTTTATCACAACAAAAGCAGCCACTGAACCCATCTCTGCACTGACTGAAATGTTGGTTTAATTTCTGTATTGTTCCAGCAATATGCTGGCACTTCCCAAAACGGCTCCGAGCAGTGAATTGTTTCCAAGCTAAATTTAGAGGAAGTAAGGAGCAGAAAGAGAAATGGGGTAAAATGCAATGGAGGAAGAATTAAGGGGTGGGTTATTTGACTCTCAATCACAGTTAAGCCAGCATATAAATGACCTAATCTTGTACTGTGGAATAAAAATGTACAAAGAGCAGCATAGCCACACACATGACCATCACTATTTCATCATTTCCTTCTTATTGCTCTTCTCGCCAAAGGGCCTGATTTCTGGCGAAGACTGAAGGCACTCAGGAGGGGTGCTGGGCAGCATCATGAACCTGATCATGTTGTAAAGCACAGGGATTTCTCTCCCTTCTGTGGGTGCACTCATCTGTGTGATTTATTCACGCACACGTTTCCAGCCTACCAAATGCAAACCTTTATCAATAGGCTCATTGCTCTTCCTGACACACCCAGGTGTGTTTTTTCCTTTTTAATGAGTCAGATATTTTTCTGCTCCACTTCTGGGGAAGGTGTATGAGGGAGTCACAGCAGTCGATAGTCGATTGTGCTGTTTGTTGGTGTTTCACCCGTGTTAGGAGAAAGCCCTGCTATCTACCAGCCAGAGCAAAAAGGAGACGATCAAGAGCAATAGTGTCTGTTCTGGCACTGCCTGAAGCTCTTTGTGATCTTGGGCAAGTTATTTAACATTGTAAAAACAGATTTGAGCTAGTTTTACAGATGGTAACCACTTATCTCCTGAGAGTGCCAGAAAGCTTAGCTCACTGTTGCTAAAGCTCTGGGAAAAAAAGGGCTGTTGAAGTTCAGATATTAGTTTAGGAGAAGGAAGCAGTGGACTTTGATGTGGAGAGAAGCATTGCCCCTCCAACAGTTCCTTCGCAAGGTTCACGTACGGGGGACATGTTTGCTTACATCGTTCCTGACGTAGTTTCAAAGCAGGGGGGCAGAGACCTCTTGAGCAGTCTTTTGGTATTGGCTGTGCTTGTTACTTACTGGCTCCTCGTCTGTTTGAACTGTTTGCCAAAAGTCACAACCTGTCCCAGATTGTGACCCCCCCAAGCCTGACATCTTCACAGCTGTAAGGAGGGAGAACATCAAAGCATTGAGAGCAGTTGCCCTTTCGAAGAACATTCCCCAGGGTTTAGCACGATGCTTGTTTGATCCTACTAGATGAAGATGGATTGCCAGCTCTGTCACCTCCTTTTCAAGGCTGTTCTCAGTATCTGGGGGAGTTCCATCCTTGGCTTCAGATCAGGATGTGGGCTTTTTATCACCTCCCCTTGTGTTGCATTGAACAATTGTGTAGCTTTGCTTGATTTGGGGGCTAGTGTTTACCATCCACTCCATCCAAGGGAACTTCGTGTACATCCACGATGTACTGGTTTAAGGAGACCATGTGTCTTGACTGAGGTTTCTCTAGTTGTTGTCGTGATGGAGGAGCTTTTGCTCTTCAACAGAAGAGTTGTTTGGCTTCATGACAAAGAAGTGACTGTCCCAAAGTATATTTCTGTAGCTGCTCACAGGCCTTGTTTGCCTTCTGCTTCAATCCTGGAAGTCCTCTGGGCTTTCTGTCAGAGTAGTCGTATTCTAGGTTAGTCTGCAGATGGGATTCTTATGGGAATAGACAGAAGACAGTTTAAAAACAGAAATGAAAGGCTTAGCTTTTCTCATGCTATTCAGGAGCCTTTTATTGTATTTATTACCTCTGCATTCTAACAACCTTTCACTGCTTTGCATTAGGGAGAACCAAGTTTGCAGCACTTGAGTGAGTCCTGCAGTGTGCCATGACCTTCACAGCCTGCATCTAACTCGCTGCTTTTGTGGGGGCTATAGACATAATGAGTTTTACCCGCTGCTTATTCTGATGTTCTTAGGGAGATGAGCAAAGCAAGAAGTGTAGGGAGAAGGGTGTAGAGTTCTGAACTGCATTAAAGGCAAGTTCCCCTAGAGTTGTACCATCTACCTTCAACATTTGAGGCTTCTACCCTGAGGGCAAGTGGACTCTCTGAATGGGTTTCATCTGGGCTGCTGAGGTCCCTGCCTGTCCTATTGACTGGAGATGTATTGGAATGCATGTGCAATGTTTGAGAACAGTAGAATGAAGTCATAGAATCACAGAATGGTTAGGGTCATCTTGCCCTCATTCTTCTTTATAACATCAATACCAGTAAATCTGTTCCTTCGGCTTTCACATCATCCTCTTGCTAATAGATGCCTAGTGCTGGAAGGAAACAAGTTTTCTCACCTTTCAGCTTCAGAGCCTTCTGGTTGTAGTGAGCTGTTCCAGCAATATCCATCTGTGTTTTCCTCCCCTTCTACACTTGCCTTTGATACCTTTCCAGCTGCATTTGCTCTCCTTAAGAAGCCCCACAGCCTCGTCTCTGACAATTTTGGTGCTACCCACAGTGTCCTAATAGCAGTTTCGACCTTTCAATTAACTTCAGGATCGCCTCTTTCAGCAGACAAAACCTGTATAGACGCCAAGAGCCTCCGAACAGCTTTGGAAGTTTGGCTGAAAGACCATGAAGATTAGGGACATATTTTTCCTTTTGTCAGGGAAATCAACAGCAAAGGGCCCCGACACAAGAAGGAAACTTTCCCACTGACCACAAATAGGAGCTCGAAGTGAATTTTAAAGCCTTTAAAAACACAAAATGACGATTTATTTAATTAAGCAGGGTTCCATGAATGTAGTAGTATGCTGAGGTCATGGGCAAAAAGAAGCTTTTCCAGTAATTAGTGCGGGGTCCATGCTGTTCTGGCAGAAACACCCATGACGTCAGTCTGAGACTGGAACAAGAAACTGCTGCATGGTGAACTTGAAACACAAACCTTATTATTGAAGGGCCATGTCTGACAATTACAGGGGCTGGTTGTGGTGGACACAGAATATTCTTCCTTTGAACGCTGCAGAAAGATGTTGTGGGTTTACTTTATTTCTCTTACTAGTTTCCGAGTCAAGGAAATCACTGCTATGCCAGAGCATCCTTACTCCCCTTTCCTCTGCCCTAAACAAGCAAACAGAGTTATCAGATCTCCAACCTTCTTGTTTTGTAAATATGGAAAGTGGCCATTTCCATGGTTTCATTTAGCAGAAGCAGCTTAGTTTTTGTTTTGTCATGTGAACCCAAGCAAAGGGCAGATGCAGTGGTGAAGGTGGGAGCTGAGGGCAAGCACAAGGCGTGCCTGGGCAGGTTGTGTTTTGTAGCCATTTATGTCTTTGTTTTAGGTTAATTTGTGATGTTTTGAGTAGAAGCCAAGTGTTGTGACAGCATTTGGAGCGGGTAGTTTTGTAGCACTTGGATTCTAGTTTCTGGTGAGTTACTGGAGTCCTGTGGAGCTGGAAAAGTAAAGTTTGACCATATTCTGTAATCCGGCTTTTGGTATGTGAGTGATGTCTTCACTTGAATACTACTCTTGAGTTGACTTGTCACTGATCAAAGATTGCCTGGTCAGGTAAGGGTGGCTTATATTTCTTGGTTTATATTGTGACAGAGAAGAGTGACACATCTGTTCTTTTAAAAGTCTATAAGAAATACTTATTTCTGATACATATAAATTCCCAAGATAGCGTTTAATTTAGAGTTGTGACCCTCAGTAACTTGCTCTTACCTGATTTGATGTAAAGACTGTGTGTGTCAGAGGAGTTGCTCAGTTGTGTTTCTTCAGTGCATGCATCTGTTCTTTCTTACCATTTCCTTTGGCTTTCCCTTGCAGGCCATGACTGCTGTGAGACAGTGAAGGTGGCCCTTTGTGCCTCTCGAGAAGGTCACCCCGTTCTGGTTGTGGCAGAGGAGAGTTTCCAGTTTGTCCAGGATGAAGCCTACGATGCTGCCCAGTTTCTGGCCACCTGTGCTGGCAACCAGCAGGCGCTAAACTTCACGCGGTTCTTGGACCGGTCGAGGCCCCCTGCTGCGGATGTGGACTTCTTGGATGAGAAAGTGGCTTTGGCCTTTCGGCACCTGAAACTGCCGGCAGAATGGAACGTGCTGGGAGCGGACCAGTCCCTGACCGGTGAGGACCTTTAGGGCACATGTGGGACTTATGGGCTTGGAGATGGGTAAAAAGCCTCATAGAAGGGGTTTCCTGCTTTGGGCACCCTCCACATGCCTTTCAAAAGGTGTGTTGGTCTCTGTGCTTGGAGGTGGGAAGTGATGTGCAGCAGCATGCCACTGCTAGATCAGCATCCTATGCTTTGCACTTCAGCCACCTTAAAATACATAAGGCATGATGTTTTCTCTGTGTCTTCTCTTACAAGAAGCTATGGTAAATGATTGGTGCAGTACTTTAACATATCCCCAGAAGGGTTTTTTTTGGGGGGGTGTGTGTGTATGCAGTGGTATGTGTAACAGCATCATGCTTCTGAGATTTCCTGAAACAAACCTGTGTGTAGGAAGTCTGATGCTCTGGAAATACTATCCTTGTAGCACAGATTTGTTGGTTTTGGTAAGTGTTGGTTTTATAGCACAGGTGCAAAGCGACTGTAATGTGTAAAATAAATCTGATTTTCCTTGGAGAAGTTGGGGCTCTGCCCCTGAGGATTGGGGTTGCATCCCTGGTTGCACACCAGCTGGGCAAACACAGGCATTCCCCAAAATGAGCCTGCATGATTTTGAAGGTAAAAGAAGGTGAAGGTGGGAAAACCTGACCCTTAACCACAGCAGTGAGAGCTACTGAACGCTGATAAATGAACCCCAAGGCTGGCCCTAAGTCTCTGGTGACTGCTGAAGCAGAAGTACGGAGGTGTTTGGGATGTTTTGCATGTCTGTGTCCTTGGAGTTCTGCAGTTTTTTTGTCCCAGGGGAGTTTTAAGGGAGCATATTGAAGGGCTGGGAAGCTATTTCCAGTGGGTACAAATCCATGCTGTGAATTTTCAGGGTACTTTGCCAAATAGTTTCACTTAGGGAGTGAGGCATCTTTTATCTTTTCTAGGATGCAATGGCATAAACACTTCAGTAGGATGGGATGGTGGCTTCCTCGGTGCAGGAGGTTCAGTTCTGCTCCTTGCAACAGGGTTTTCTGCAGGAGACTTTCCTGCTTTGTTTTTCACCAACTTGCTGACTGCTTTTGTAAATGTGAATACACAGACAGACAATCCCAGCAGTGTTAGCAGATGTTAAAGGATTTGATCATATTTAATGGTTTCTGGATAGAAATTCAGTTGCTGTCGTATGTTTACAAGGAGATAAACACTTGGTATTTTTTACACTGATGCTTTGTTTGTATTTAAACAAGCTGTGATTACACAGACGTTTCTGCTTTAAGTGATAAAAATCCAGTCAAAGTGATCTTAAGTCACTGAAAACTTTGACTGAAGCCTGAATTGTTGCTGATTTTGCAGGAAGGCTGAGATCCAGTTTCTGGGTTTGATTTTGATTATTTGGAAAGTCAGCACATAGAGAAAACAGGATATAAGATTTACATTGATTTGCTCAGTGTGCATTTATGTACTCGTGATCATGTGGGGCTCTGCTAATGTCATGTAGAGCATCCATTGCACCCACAGTGACATTGGGGAGCTCTGTAATGAAGAGCCCTATAATGCTGAGTGTTTTAGCATCTTGTGGTGAGGTTTTTGTAGATGGAAGTATAAATGAATAAATAAATATAATGGCATTAAATGCAGCTATCATCCAAGAACAGTGCTATAAACTGTTTCCTTGCAGTGAGTCCTTCCATAAATGACTGGAAAAGGACAGTTTATTCATGTCTTAGTCTTTGCTGATCAGCTTTTTTGCTAAAGGCAGATTTATCTGGTAACTTTTTGCGGTGAGATAATCATATAGGGCGTTTGGGGGGGACTTCTGTCATTGTGAAAGGAAAGATTTGCAAGTGTAGGCATCCTTTTGGTCCTGAAAATCTGTTTAGCTGTAGCAAGATGGAAGAGATCTCCCTTGTTTATGATTGAGCACTAGATTAGAAAAACCACAGTGGTAAAACACAGTACCCCTGTACTGGTGCTTCTGGGTTAATTTGTATGTGGGAGAGGGAAAAGTACAGCAAGGATCGAAACTGTGGGAGCAGTTGGGACAATTAAACACATTCTGTCCAGTGCTTCTCCAAGTGGGGCTGCGTCACTACCTATGAACAGCTATTCCAATTCATATTTCACATTTTGCTAAATGTCAGCACCAGATACTTCAAATAACCTTCTCAAAGGAGAAAATACTATAGAAATGAGAACAAAAGGAAATGTCAGATCCCTTCTTGAAAGATTCTGAGCTCTGCCTCTAAGCTGGCATGTCTCTATGGGCTCTTGTGGGTTGGGAACAAAACGCTGCTGTTTAGCAAAACCTCTGAATGCAGGAGCGAGCTGGGAGCCTCAGCCAGCTCGAGTGCTGCAGCTTGATGGGGAACTGCTGTTCTGAGATGGCTCTTGCTGTCAGGCACGTTTACAAGTTGTTGTTTTGAAGGACTGAAGTAGGAGTTTGGCTTTTATGAAAGCAGTTAGGAAGTAATGGCCTTTCTGCAGGCAGAAGCTGGGTAGAAGATCCACCATCAAGCACAACTTTGTGCTGGTTTTGGGAGGGGATGGCTCTGTACAGAGGCTTCTCCTTGCTTTTACCTGCACCCCAGTCTTTGAGCAGGGTACAGGGAGTTCAGTACATCACACACCCCAGAGGCCAGAGAAGCTGCTGAAATTAACACCCAGCTCCATCTGCTGATGCTGTTTAGTCTTTTGTGTTGGTAGGTGTGTGCAGTGCAGTGTGTGGTTAAGGTCCATCCCGCTGAGGAGGAGGCACATAACACCCTATGTGCTCCTGGGTACCACGGACCGGTGGTCACATCATTAAATTGATCTTCAGTGGTTTGCATTCATCCACGATTGTTCCTCATGTTGCAGCAGCATCTCCCCCTATTCTCTTTTCTAACACATTAGTAAGTTTGATTTTTTAGTATGGAAAATGCAGGATTACTGGGGACAAAGCTATGTGAGAATCACCTACTTGCTTATGTTTTGGTTACCAAACCAAGGTCTTCGTTCTTTAAGAGTTTGTCATTGCTCAAGATTAAAGGTACGGTATGGTCATATAGCATGTCCTTTCAGCTGCAGGTTAGAAATATCTCCACAATTACTGTAAGCTGCTGGAGGACATCTGCAAACATTCCAGTGCCCTTCTTTTTCGCTTGTGTTTAACCTACTTAGGTTAGCTGTTGCTATCCGACAAGAAAAGTTTGTTTAGCATCAATAATCTTAATCTCTTAAACACTAGGCTGTCTTTACATTTCTTCCTCTGTTATCTCTTTAGACATCATTTTCATTAAAAAAAATTGAAAATAAATGAGCCTTTTCTCCTGTTTTCATCAGGGCATTTTCAAAACCCCACTACACCCATTTGCAGTAGTCTCATTTGCTTTCTCCCCTCACTGTTCTAGAACAGGAAGGGCTTTTATTGCTTAAAAGGAGACTGACCCCAAATTAACTGCACTGAGCAGTATTGGTTAATCTCATCCTTCCAGTAATGTTATTGTAGGTATTTGGTTAACATTGCTCAAACCCAAATATTTACTGGTTTATATTACTCTGGTACAGCATAAAAGACTAAATATGTTTGTGATCAAAAGTCCTTAGTTCTTCTCCCCAAATCCATTCAAAAAAAATGGACTTGTTTGGACCTCAAAAGATTTGAATGACCCCTTTGTGCCAAATTTAACACCAGACTGTGTTTTTGTAGGAGTGGGGCTTTGATGACAAGCTTTTTGTTCAGCAGCCAGTGGCATGGAGCATGGTACCCAGCCTGGTCTCGCCATTGACAGTAACACTCAGGTGATGGAGAACAGTGGCTGCACATCATGAATCCTGATGGAAAAAGCAAGCTCAGAAAAGAGAATCCTGTCTCTTAAAACATGTATCCGTGGTCTCACAGGTTTCCCTGCTTGCTTTTCTGTGAAAAGGTGATGCTCTTGCACAAATTCCTTGTTTCTTTGCCCTTCTGATTTGATCCCGATTTAACTTTAATAAGGTGTGTAGGTAACAATTCCATTGTGGAATATTTTCCCCTTACATATATATATATATAAAAGCTATTCTCCCAAACTTCTCATGACAGCTCAGGTAGTGTGTCTGAAAGCCCCTTGAGCAAGTATGTCGTCACCTCCTCCCTGCAAACTGCACTCCTCATCACTTCTGTTCTGGGGCAGTTTTATCCTTAGGGCTGTTCTCTTCCCCCAGCCATGCACTGTCCTTCTGCAGTAGGAGATTGCAGGTTCTTGCTCTTAATTATCTGGCCATCTGTATGAACTCAAGTGGCATCCACCGTTTCAGAATATCCATAATTAAGGATTACTGTTGTTACCATGGTATTCCAGACACAGCATTACTTTCAGGTGCCATGTCATTATGTCCATCTTAACTATTACAAGCACACTCTAACGTTCTTAAGAACGTAGTTCTTACTGCTGTCGAAAGTAGGGTAATTTGCTGTTCTCAGTGGCATTTAAAGGCAGCTGTTTAAATGGAACAGATTGTTACGCATTCATATCTAGAAATCAAAATGCAATGTGTATTCTGAGGATCTATGCGATGTAAATACAGGACTGTGATTTTTTTCTATTTTAAATGTCTGGAGAGAAAATAAGCTATGTAGAAAAGCAGAGCACAGTATTTGGAGGTGTGAGTAATGAGTGTGGCTTGTTTGTGTGGCAGTGAGGGGGGGGAAAGGTGGAGAAAGAATTAGGGAGGATCCAGGGCTCAGGTATGAAAAGCTTAGAGAGCCTGAGTTAACTAAATCCTTGAGTTAACGAAATCCTTGCATTAACTATCAGTAGTAAACAGGTCACTTTCAGAATATGTTTTAAGTAATATTCTGACAAAGCCTTTGAGGAAACAGTGTTTTTGGTTTTGTCATTAAAAGTAAGTGGTAAAACCCAGAGCTATGGTTCCAGTGTTGGTTGTATGAGCTTTCTGAGGCGGTCCTTGCAGGAGCTGGTTAATGTTGGCAGAGGGTGGTGGTGATCAACTGCATGGAGCCATTCCCCTGGGAGCCTGAGGAGCAGTCCCTTTGATAGTCAGCCTCAATTACCAACAGATAACCAGGAGACCATCTCATTAGATAAGACACTTAACAGCTCCTTAACTTCAGGAACAAGGTTACTGATGTCTTGAATATGTAGAGCTTCCCAGAAGTGCTGTGGAACAAACATCCATGTGCAGTAAATACTGCTTGAGAAATCAAACTCCCTGAGTTTACCAGATAGGAGGTGTTTAGAGAGGGAAATGCTTTGCCCTGGCTTGAAATAGCCTGAATGGATTTGGGTTACGCGTTTAATAACTTCACCTGCAAACCCAGTAGGATTTCAGTGTAAAGCACGAGTGTCACCATGATTAGAAATCATTTTGGGTTTTTAACAGGAAGAGAGAATGTCTGAAATAGAGACAAAGTAGAAACAGAGAAAGTAACCCAAAAAGTGCCTTATTTGGAAGAAAAAAGCCTGAAAGGCTTTAAAAAGCATTCACTTTAAAAACTTTAAAAAGCTAACACTTTTTTTCCATTGGAGGATGTTAAAGATAAGCAGCTGATGATGTTCTTCAGATATAAAAGCTTTAATCTGTTCATTTGCTGCACTATTTCTAGTTTCTGGTTGAACCCTTTCAATGTAATGGTTACAGGTATTCTTTTGGTTGGGTTTCATATCCTTTCCAAGTTGCCTTCTCTGCCCTTTGATAAAGGACTGTGTGGTATAAATGGGCATGAGCTTTTCTGTGTCAACAGTGCCAAGTGGTCTTTTCAGCTGTAGTCCTTGATAAGGTGTAAGAAATCTTTTCCGTACCTAAATTTAATGTCCTCTACAGTGGAAAATGGGAAGAAGAAAATCTTGTTCAGGCAGTGTACTCAGATGTACCGCTCAGTCTGTGGCTGAGGAATCATTGGCATGAGAAAGCTTCTGTTCTCTTTGATATTAGTGGGAGTAGGGACAGGAAAATCCTTTGGGGTCCTCTGGAAAATTTCTTGTTTACTAGATTAAATAAGGGAATTATCCACACGTCTTTTTATCAATTAAACTCATTACACCAAACACATCATCTTTGCCTTGACCTTTCTTCAGTCCTGTTGTCTGCCAGAGCCTTCCTCTAGGACATCAGTGTTAAGTGATAGCTTGCTTCTGGGTTTTGTTCCCTTTGTTTCTCAAGCATCGAGCTGAGCAGTGAGAACATTTCAAGCAGAAAACAAGATCTTGAGACCAGATTTGATGGTAGATCTCAAAATTACTGAGTATATGTGATTTTGGGTGAGCACCAAGTGAAGATCAGCATCACGGGGAGACTAGCAGGAGATGCTAACCAGTCCATGGCTGCCTGTTCCTTGAGATGTCTCAGAGCATGGAGGATAAACTGTTAGGTGTGGGTTACTCCATATAGTGACTTTTAAAAGGAACAGTATCTTTCTTCTGTTATTTAATCAGGATTAAAATGAGAGTTTGAAGAACAAGTACTTAAAGAACAGTTTGTGCTTTCTTGGATGTGTCATACCCAAACTTTTTTTTCCCCCTCTTCAGTGCTTATTTGTTTTGTGCTGATAGTACCTTAAACCTTAATCCTTTACCATTAGCACAGTACATTTGACAGGCTTCTATGGAAATTTTGTCCCTAGTTACGCAGATAAACTGTCTGTTTGTATGTCACAGCTAAAAAAAAATGTAAAAATAATATATTTGAAGTCCTAGGTTTTGCCAGCTGGATCAGAATGCCCTGCCATTATGGGACAATAATCATATGTTTCGACTCTTGCCTATTACTAGGAAACGAGGAAGGAACAAAACAACCTTGGCCTTTCCAATAGTGTGTGCCTTGTATTTCCACAGTTTCCTAATTACAAGAAGCTTTTTATTGACATTCCATGGACAGCCATTTTAAGATGAGGAGCTCGTGCTTGATAATGCGGTAGGAAAAGGAACTCTGTCTGTTGTGTGTTAAAGTTCTAGTTACTCTTCCATGCCTGGAACATGCGTTTTGCACCATGGCAAGACCCTGCAGTTACTCATTGAACCTCCAACATTTTGTGCTATAAGCTTCATCCTGTCAAAGTCAGCAACACTCTGTACCTGATGCAGACCAACTCTCGTCTTGTTCTGAGCAACACCATCTCCTAACAGGTGTATTTTTGATTATATATTAGTAGTTAATCCAGCCCACAGATGGCACACGCCTTTTTATTTGTAGCCATGCGAGTTTTGCACACTCTAGAACCTTCTAAGGCCATTGCCTGGGGCCCCTGCAGTTGTTGTATGTACAGTACTTTGTCTCTTCGCTGCCATCATCTGTGCCCATCTGTTAGGATGGCCTCATGCCAGTACGTATGTTAGGCAGAGCCTTCCAAATGGGCCTGGATAATGAGCTTGTACGTGTAATACGTTCTGGATGGCAACATGCCATGTCCTCTTGTACAGGTCTTCTGCGCACATCGTTGTTGCTCAAAGGCATTGGGGCAGGGCCACTTTCAGTTCAGTTACGTTTGCATACACCTGCATCTAAATGCTGGAACTGCTGTGTCCAGTACTTAAAACAATCTTTTAGGTTGTTTTAAAAGAATGGGAAAAAGGTGGGTTTCAGAAGTTGCAATCATCCAAGCATATTACATGGGTATTTGGGACAACTGGGAGAGAGCATTTCATCTGTGGAATATGGACAGAGAGGGGTATCCATTTGGGTCAGGGACGGGATGAGTATTTGCCTGCATCTTCCAGAACATGCAATTGGTATCTGTGTTTATTGGTGAACCATGAGTTGGTGAGTAGAAGATGCTTCTATCTAACCGTAAGGCTCTCAGCTGAACTAGGAAGCAGCATTTTGGTCCAGGAACCCATGCTTATGCTTTGCAGGTCTGTGCTGCTCAGTTTTTTCTGCAGGGCTGTCTGTTTTAAATAGGAAGATGATTTTCCCTTTGAACAGAGCAGCTAGAACAGGAGATCCTGTGCTAGGACAGATGTGGTCAGAGCAATGCAACACATCCTTTATTCGCAGGGCAGTCCTGTTCTCTAACAGGAGTGCTTTTGTGCTTCTTGCATTTCAGTAGGAAAGAGTTGTTCTGCTTTAATTATCCTAATTGACTCTGGCAGTGTATAGGTAATGTGTACCGAGTGTACACTGACTGTACCAGTGTAGAGGTAAAGTACATTGAGTGAAACCTTGGGTATCTGCTTTCACTCTTTGACTACCTGTACCACACTTCTTTGTTTTGCAGCTTCACTGGTAGCCTTTCCCTTATGTCTGTCTACATGGTGTGTTATTTTTCATTTTTCTTTAAGTTCAAGGCTGACAACCTCTGATTAACTACCTTGTTGTGTTGTTTATTTCTAAATCATTGCACTCGATAGCATTTAATACCCAAATCCTTGTCCTTACTCTCCCACAGCTGCTTCTGAGTGAGCTCAGCTATTCCCTTTCTCTCTGATCAGCTGGAACCTCCATTCAGACATGCTCATGTATTCAGGACAGTGTGGTTTTGCTTTACGGTAATCAAGAGGACGTTAGCAGGGAAAGATTGGTTTGTAGCCCAGAGACCCAATTTTGGAGTCATTCAGAAGAGAGATGGTGCCAGAAAGCTTTTGGTTCTCTAGTACAGGTTAGTTCTTCAGGAATTGGATCCAGAAACACTGGGAAAAATTGTGTGTCAGGTAGGGAAGAACTGCCCGTTTTGGCTTTGTTTTGCACTGAAGGTCTTAATGATGTCCCTTAAGAAAGCAAGTAAGCAAGAAAAACAACAGTGCTTTGAAGGAGTGATTCCTCTTGGGCATATACTACTTGAGGGGGAAAGAAATAAATCCTAAAGCCATCATGTACTTGCGTTTTTAAATGTGCTGTATAGGTTTGGCTGGCAACCAAATTAATAACCCACTAAATCATTGCTATGATACTAAAGGTATTATACCAAGTGTGCTCACTGGCATGGTTTACTGAGACCCAGTTGGTGCTTTTGTGGTGGTGTTGTTGCTGCCAGTCAATATTGAAATCCTTTGTTAATTAACAGAACAAATCTCTGTTTCTCAGAGGTTGTTTTTAACCCACATGCTTTTGCCTTCCATACAGAAGTAACAGGCTTTGATCTGAAAATACTGTATTTCAGCAGTGCATCTGGAGCTCATTTCTGGTCGAAGCTTTTCAGAGTGTTGTTCAAGGGCTGCAGCTTTTAGAGTAGGGGGATCTTTTGCTGAGATGAAAGCTTTAGGCTCAAGAGTGCCTTCTACCAAATTAGAAGGTCATGGTTATTAAACATAAAAAGCAGCAGTGGAGGTTGCTAGTTTATAAATGCTGCTACTCAGAATGACAGAGCTACTGTGTAAAGCTGAGGAAAGCTGGTCTGAGGCGTGATTAAACCAGGAAAGCAAAACCCTCACGTTTAGTTTGTCTGCATGAGAAGTTAAACTGTTCTTTTCCCTGACTGCTTTAGGTTTGTGCTTCAAATGTAACTGATCTTTTTCATGCCTTGGGACAAATCAGCATCCCATTAATGAACAAAACTTCTCTGTTTCTAAAAGCTGGCCCTGGGTGTGTGAGGAGAAGGCTTGGGCATCTAGAAAATCCCATCCGACCATGCCAGGTTCTGTTTGGAAGCGCTGCAACTTGGCCTTTGCCGTGGCTGTTTATGAAACGGTGTTGTTTTCACATTGACTTCTGCGGTCCTGAGCACCTCCCGTCCCACTGTAACACGTCCCTCACTTTAAACTACTGGTCTCTCCTGGATATTGGCAGGCAGTGTGTTTTTCCAGGTGCTGCAGGTTCCTTGGCTTTTGGGCTGTCAGCTCCATGCCAGCCGTTGTGTGTGGTGTTTCTGGGAGGTGGGATATGGCATTCACCTAACCCACAGCCTACAAATTCCCATTTATTTAATTTTCCCCTTCTTGTTTCTTCCCAGAGAACATCCCTCGGGAAACACTGATGCATTTTGCGGTGAGGCTGGGTCTGCTGCGGCTGACGTGGTTTCTGCTCCAGCAGCCGGGGGGAAGAGGAGCTCTCAGCATCCACAACAACGAAGGGGCAACTCCTGTGAGCTTGGCCTTGGAGAGGGGCTACCAGAAGCTGCACCAGCTGTTGACAGAGTAAGGATGATTTGACGGTTCCTCTGCTAGTGTTCCATTCTGTATCATGCTTGTCTTTGCACGTTGTCACTGAAGAGTGCCCAAGAGCTAAACTCTACCCCTGAAGGCAATTTTGGCGTAATTTTGCTTTTACCTTTCTTGCTAGCAGCAGTGGGGGCAGGTCCTTGGGGTTTAGGAGAAATGCAGTCGTATTGTTTTGTTCTCCGTTTCTGTTGCACAGTGGTCTGCTTCCAGCTGTCTCTTAAAGCCCAAAGTGAGTCACTGTAATAGCAACTAATTAAGACCTTTTAAAAACACAAGTGAAAAGGCTTTTCTGTGAACTAGCACAGCTGTCCAAAAGAGGGGAGCCAATGGGCTTCGTGGTGGTGGTTGACTGTTGTGTTCTTACTTTATAGATTGGGAGTTTTTTGGTTAAATGAAATAATGGTAATTGATAATGATACTGAAATAAAGCAGCATCTTGTTAGGGGGTTTTACCAGCATAAGTAAAAAGTTAAGGTAAGAATTAATGCAAGTATTTAACAGCAGAAACAGTTCCCTTCTTAGTGGTCTTGAGAAGCAGCCAGATGTTTCACACTCATAGCAAGTAACTAGTGGTGTGAGCATTTACTGCGGTGTTTTAAAAGGAATCCCTCAGTAGATGACAAGTTCTTTTTGAATAGCAAATGTCTGGAGATCTAGCTTTAAAAGCTGAGGCTAGTAAAGACAAAGAGCTTAAGTAAGTCCCAAGGGTGTTATTTGTACAGGAGGAAAGACTGGGTCTGCATGTGCGTTATTCTGATGCCTGGTTCTCTTAAGCTTTGTAATTAACTTTGTTTTTCTGAATCAGCTTTTCAGATAAGTGGGGTTTATGTTGAGTGACCCCGTGTCATGTTTAGGAGTCTGCTGTGTTGTCCATGTTATCATGCAACATTTCTCCATTGCGGGTTACAAATTATTCTGCTTTCTATAGTTGTTGGGCAGCGTTAGAGGGCAGAATGTGTGATCTGTGTTGCTGGAGTGACTGCACTTAGGTTTCATCTTTAAATTCAACCAAACACATGCAACGTGATGGTGAAGGAGAAGGTGTGGGGTGGCACAAGAGCTATACTCAAACCTGTTCTTCTTCCACCTTTGGCTGGAATTAATACAGAGGTGATAACAGTGTTACTGTTTTCTCCACTGATTTAACAGTCATGCTGTGAAAGCACACAACTCTTCCTCCTTGTAACGCTGGAATGTGCAAATTCATCCTATATCTGGAGCAGATTTCTCCAAGGTGAAACTAACCACATTAACAGGCTTTTCATACTGTCAAGAAGCTTAAGTTGGCCAAAGCTTGATTATAGCAAACACTGCAGTCTGAATATGTGTGGAGCTGGTCATTTAAAAAGAAATAGGAAGAAAAAAATACTATTACAACAGCTATTCATGTATTTCGTGGAGTATTTCACAACTGGTTCCAGTACTGTAATGGCAGTTCTCACTTAGTGGAGAAGATGGCTTGGGTTACGTGGCATTGCTATGTGCCGTTCCCTTTAACGGATGCTGCTGGTGTAATCCAGGGGATTTCTCTGGTGACCTTTACAGTTCATCTTTGAAAGTAAGATACTAGCAACTTCAGTAACGCTACAGTCAAAGTCCCAGCTCCTATTCTTCTTAGTGTATCCTGTATATACAGTATATACAGTGTATAAACACATTCCATGCCTCTGAAAATCCTGCTACCTCCATGCAGCGCAGCAAACAGAAATCTGTGGATGCTGGAGGTCATGGACCCCTTTCTCAGTGGGACAGTGGTGGGAGTACTGTGTGACATGGGGATGGCCGCAGCCCTTCACCATAGGAAGGTGACAACTGCAAAATAGGCACATCCAGATTCCCCAGCAGAGATTTATATTATCATTTTCAGCAGTAAGATGGGATCGAAGCTTGAAAATCCCTATTGAGAGGAGAAATATTGATTTTCAAAATACAGAAAAATTCCATAAAGGGAGTATATGTCATTTATGTGCTGTGAAAACGCAATGGACACTGTACAGCCTCTTCTCTGTGCTGTGCTTATGTGCACTCGGTCTAATCCATGCACGCGAGTTTGGCGCGCAGCTCGCACCACTCAGAAGAACGCAGAGCAGCAACAATGCATGTTAGCCAGAGCGCGTACAAAGGAGTCATTATTTCCACAAGTAATTAAACTGCACTATGCCAAATAAGTGAATGCACCGTGTTTTGTGCGGCATTATCCTGGGGGGGGGTGGTGGTGTTGTTCACTTGCTTACTAATTTGCCAGCGGCTGTTGCAGTTCTGCTGGAGTTTGGTTGCAAAGCAGCTCGCGTCAGCCACAGTGTAAATATTTTTCTCCAGACCCAATTGCACTGGTGACATTGGGAGTTTCTGTTTATCAGATGAGCTTTCCCTTTTCAGCTGTTGCAGCTCTTCATGTCAAAAAATGAAAGACTCTTCCTATTTAACTTTTGCAACTCTAAAGGATTGATTTCTGTAGTCTCAAGATTGTGCACTGGCTTCTGCATCATCCAGCAGGAAAGGCACATCTGATGATGCTTTCGAGACCAAACTCAGGAGCTGTGATAGAGCACACGTGAATCAGTGGAGAGCAGGATGCTGGTAGCAGTATTTATCGGTTGTGTGTCATTCCTGAGGGTGCTTGTTTTATCTTTGAGGTTAAAACGTGCACCGTATGAAGACAGGCTGAGAAAGTTGGGGCTGTTCAGCCTGGAGAAGAGAAGCTGTGTGCTCATAGCAGCCTTCCAGTATCTGAAGGGTGCCTACAAGGATGCTGGAGAGGTGCTCTTCATCACAGACTGTAGTGATAAGGCAAGGGGTGATGGGTTTAAGCAAGGGAAGTTCAGGTTGGATGTAAGGAAGTTCTTTACTGTGAGGAACAGGCACTGGGAACAGGTTGCCCAAAGAAGCAATAACTGCTCCATCCCTGACAGTGCTCAAAGCCAGGCTGGACAGAGCCCTGGGCAACATGGTCTAGTGTGAGGTGTCCCTGCCCATAGCAGGGGGGTTGGAACTGAATGATCTCAAGGTCCTTTTCAACCCTAACTATTCTATGATTCTATGCACAGTGAACATTGTCCTGCAGTGGAAATGGAATAGGGCAGTGCATAACGGCAGGAGGGTGGTTTTTTTGAAGTGGGTGGAACTGATATGTACATATATATGAGGATTTCTCTAGGTATATTCTTGTTTGTTCGCTAGCATCTTGGTTAACAGTTGCTTTTTGTGTTTTGTTTTTTATTTTTATCTTTTAATACAAACTTAACTACAAATTAAGCTACAACTTCAATAAACTATCTTCTATGAAAAAGCTGTGGAAACCAGGCAGCTTGCATAGCCTCTCTCAATGTTAACAGTTTGAGCCTGCTAGGAGTGAATTCCAAAGCAAAGGGGCCTTCCTTGCAGCCTGTTGCTTGCCTGTGTTTGAATTGGGCAATCTGGCTGCAGGGCGTTGGCAGAGCTGGGCTGCTCTGCTCCTTGGAGAAGGGCTGGCTCTGAAGAGGCAGCGTGATTTATTACCCAGGCGGGTAGTGCGCTCCGTGTGAGTAACTTGGCCCCTGCAATAGGACAGCTGCAGTTTGCAGTCGATGTTTGTAAATGCTCTTTGGTGTAGTAACATAATCCGCCTGCCAGCTCCATGTTCTCCAGTGCTCTGGAAGTCAGGCAAGGAAAATGGCTCCAAGAAATAGCGAGCGTGCAGCGTTTCAGAGAAGTTGGAAGCAGTGCTTTGTAAAACACAACACACGCTGGGTTTATTTCTGATTTCATTTCTGCAGAGCAGAGTTGTGTCTCGTAACCCAAAAGCACCGCTTTTCTTACCAACTGCTTGCGTTCCTTCACAGCTGAGAGTGAATTATGTCCTCTGCAAAAGGGGAGAAAACAGTAAAGCCCATAAAAACACACATTGCATTTTTCTAATCCCTACAAAGAGACATTTCAGAGTTGTAACACTGATTTCTTTTACTGTAATGCTTTTGCTGGTTTCTCTGCTTGCTTATTGCTATAAAGGACTTTCTGCACCGCTTTGGGATTGCGCTTCCTTCAGACCTCCTGGTAACAACCAGGTGGCTCAGTGTAACTGTCAGTCAGTGCAAGTCTGTATTTCCAAAATTGACGTGCTATAATTAACACACGAGGAATAACTCACTGGGAGCAGTAGGGGTTTGTGGGTGTTTTGCAGTCCATGATTGTCACTTGCTATTGTTCTGATTTTATGTAATTGGTGAAGTCTGTACCTCTCACGTGAGGATGCTTCTTCCATAACTTTGCTTTTATAAGTGAATACACTTTCCTTCTTTTCTGAACCAGAGCTGCAAGATGACTTGCCTGATACCTCATTTATTTGCACCCAAATTTAGCAAGTCCTTTAGGCATGTGTTTAATTTCAGAAGTGTCCAGTTCATGTTCAGTGGAGAGATCTTAGTGTGATCGGGGTGATAGTTAAAGATGGGACATTTTTCATTTAATTTTGGTGTTAGGTTGTTCCATTAAATTCAGCCTTTGCACAGGCAAAGAGCCATCTGCAGTGCAGAGGCTTTTCCAAAAGCACTGCTTTTCTGGGGCTGAAACCATTGCTGATTGCTGTGACTTCAGTGCCAGGTCATATGTAAACAGGCTGCTTGTACCACTGAGGATGTATAGGCTGAACCCTCCTTTCCTGTATTCATCCTTGCCATTACTGTGAGGTGGAAACTAAGCATGTGAGACTCTGAGTCCCTCCTTACTTCAGTTCTCCCAGTACTGGAAGCACGAGCAGGACGCAGCAGGGACATGCAGGTGGCCAGGAGGTTGCCACCACACTGGCAGGTGATGCTGTGAATATTTTTCATTCTATTTCTTGCTAAGCAGAATCTGGAGCTGAAGAGTTTACTGAAGTGATGCTGATGTTTCTCCTTCCGTCCTTCTACCCCAAACCAATCCACAAGGTGTCCTGATTGCTATTCAGGCTCCTGGGAAGTAGGTTTAGTATGTGGCTTGCTACCGTCTGAGAACAGAACATAGGAGATGAGAACAGTTGACTTCATAAGTGCTGGAACAAAGTTAACACTTAAAGGGGGATTCAAAGACCTTAGAATGGCAGTGAAGAGGACTTGACAGGACATCTGTGTGTTAAGAAGATGCTTGTTAGCTACAAAAGCGTGGGAGGAGCAGTGTTCTGACAGGGTCTGGTTTTGTAGCAGTGTATTGCTGAACTTTAAGATTACCATTTGAAACACCTTTGTTTCATTGATCATCATGATTAGAAAGATGCTGAGGTGCTGTGGGTTTCTTCTGGCCACAACAGAGGAGCGGACTGGGAGCTGGGGGGACCTGGGGGAGCCAGGTGTGAACATGATGGAGCAGGAAGAGTTTGTGTTTCTGTTTTCCACCTACTCATCCACTGCATGCTCCAGCTTTTACTGACTTCCTAATATTTTCCCACATCCTGATAAAGGCTTGTGTTTTCGTTGGCTCCTTCCTCTCCTTTGTTTTGTATGCATCCACCTGTGAATACAGAAGAGAGAAGTAGCTTTGCCTGTATGGTGGAAATAGCTTTTTACCATCTCTGATATCTGGCCTGGAAACTGGAAGTTCTGGGAGATGAGTTTCATGTGAACAGGCCTGTGAGGAGCAGCAGAAAAAAAGAGATTTAGAAGAGGTTTGAGAAGAAGATTTAGTAAGATATGAGAAGAAAATGATTCCCCTCCTTAGCAATCCTGATCCAGAGGTGATCCCAGAAACGGCAGGAGTCGTAAGCCCTGAACAGCCTTGTGTGGTTGGTAGGTGGTGATGATAGACCAGCTCCATATATATATATATACACATATATAGAAAATGCAGGCAAGTGATTTTCCAGGGTTCTGTTACAGGGTCTGTTGTCACACTCGCTTGCAGCATATGGAGATGTTCTGCAGAGACAAGTCTTCCTTCCAGATCACTTGTGTCCTGATCTGAGGTGCTGTTTTTAGCTGTAAAGAAAAGAATCACTTGATGAAGTAGTCTCCACTGCTGCGTTTGTATTTAAATGCAACAGATGGCATCTGCTCTTGAGTTTCATAGATTCACCTTAAATTCCTTTTGTTTGCTGATGAGACTCCAAGTTGACATTGAGTTCTGTGTTGGACCTGCAGCTCCACATCCTGACCAGGCTATAGGAAATGCTGGATGTGCTCTCTTAGAATAGGTGCATCTTCAAACAGCCATTGAAGTATCAAGCCAGCCTTCTGTCTTGTGTGGTTTCCTACTGTATAGTGTGTTATTGGTCAATGGGCTGAGAAGTTAGCTTTAAGGATTTTGAATCCAATTGTTTAATATTTGATCTGATATTGAAGGGCAGGTTATGCTGTCCTGAAATCAGTTCAGTGTCTGTACCCACTGCAGTTCATGTTGGTGCAAAGCACCATAAGGGGTTAGTCATAATTTCTGCATCAGGTGAACTTTAACTCTTTAGTTCAACATCAAAAGTATTCAAATTAGCAGGTGATCTGTACAATTTGCTTATGTAGAAACTCTTTTTTCTACTTTCCTGGGGCATTTGGAACACTTCAAACACCTGCAGTATGAATGCTGTGTTTGTTAAGTATCTTTAACATCTACAAACAGAATCACAGAATCCCCAGGGTTGGAAGGGACCTCAAAAGATCATCTAGTCCAACCCCCCTGCAAGAGCAGGGTAACCTAGAGTACATTGCACAGGAACTTGTCCAGGCAGGCCTTGAATATCTCCAACGTAGGAGACTCCACAACCCCCCTGGGCAACCCGTTCCAGTGCTCTGTCACTCTCACAGTAAACAAATTTTTCCTGATGTTCACATAGAACCTCCTATGCTCCAGTTTACACCCATTGCCCCTTGTCCTATCACTGGACATCACTGAAAAAAACCTAGCTCCATCGTCTAGCACATTCTAGTTGCATGTTTTGTGAGTTTCCTATACTATGCGTATTGGTGGTTACAGAAACAAGGAGCAGAAAGAAAGTGATTGTGTGCACTAGTGCTCTGTGTGTCACTAAAGATTGTGTGTGTGAAGTTGATCAGGCTGTACAAAGCCTCTGTTAACCTCTGTACTTGTGCAAATAGCATTGAAGTTCTGTCAAATTTCTAAGATGTATTGGGTTTAGATCATAGAATCACAGAAAGCTTTGGGTTGGAAGTGATCTTAAAGCTCATCCAGTTCCAACTGCCTGCCATGGGCAGTGACATCTTCCACTAGAGCAGGCTGGTTCAAGCCCCATCCAACCTGGCCTTAAACACTGCCAGGGATGGGGCAGCCACAGCTTCTCTGGGCACCCTGTGCCAGTGCCTCAGCACCCTCGTGGTGAAAAGTAAATGAAGATCTTGGTTTTTCAAAAGGTTTAAAGCCTTTTATAGAGCGTAACACAGATCAGCAGCTTGAACATGAAAAGAAAATGCTGTCTTTGTAAGCAGAAGTGATTATTTGATCCAGCCTTCCGTGTGAAGGTGGCAGATTGCAGGAGGGGTTGGCATGCACAGAGTGTTACAGGGCACTCTGCCTGTCATCTTGCTCCAGATTCAAAGGTTTTTGAAGCCACTGAGGGTCCTTCAAGGCTCAAGTCATGCCGGCTGCTTTGCAGGTAATGGTTTGAAGATGCTCATAAGTGTCCTTGAAGCTGATGAGAAAGTGGAGCAGACTCATGGTGCTCTGTTCTTTAAACTGGCTGATGCTGTTCCCATGAGCGGGTGAACATGGGGTTTGTGCTGACTGCCTCTTTGTACTGAGGGTGGCCCTGGGTACAGTGGTTTCTCATATGACAGCTGAAAAGAAAAATACTCCAGACAGAAATCACTGTGTTTCCTTGATAAAGGAAGGTCATTTCCTTAGTCACTTGTAATGTCTCAGCTGACTTCAGTGCCTCTGTGGGTTTATACTGATCATCACCAAGAACTGGACACTTCCTTCTGTTTCTCTATGGAAATACTGATTCTGTTTAAATCAGGAGTAATTCTGCTGAAGTCAATTGAGTTACATGGTGAATGGCTGAAGTCAGAGGTTTGCTTTGTCTGAATTTCCTTGCAGGTTTAACCCAAATTGAGTCACAGAAGGGGGAGGGTGGTTGTGGCGGGGCAGAGCAGGGACAGAGGTTTCTACCACCATCATCTGCACAGGTTTCTGTCATATGGTGAAGCATCCGACCGTTTCCCCATCCTACTCTGCCCATTCCTGTTGCTGATCATAACTTGCCCATTATGCTTTCTAAATCGCTTGGCTTCCCAGAGAGGTAGCTCTGGGGTTTCCTAGGTAGACTATTAGAAAGATTGGCTATTTTTACAGTAAGAAACCCATCAGCAATGATGCTGAAATCTGTGTGCAATTTTACCGCATTAATACTTGCTGTATATGTACCTTCTTGAATTCCTAATCATTTGCATGCAATCACAGCTCTCTCCTTTCTAGGCAAATCTCTGGCTGCAAAGGGAGATCTGGGGATACCTGTTGTGACAGGGGCTGGTCTCCACAATGGAGAAAGGACATCATAGAATAGTTTGAGTTGGAAGGGAACTTTAATGGTCATCTAGTCTAACCCCAACCTAGTAGGTGCAGCCCTGGTAAAAGGAAGGCAGAGAAGTTTCCACTTCTCACACCCCTGAGCAGGTCACTGTAAGCCCTCATTCTGGTAACAATCTTTCTTGGCTCTGCATCTCTCCAGGGGGATGCAGGGCTTGATGTGGTGCTGTGTGAGCTGCTCTGTCCTGGGTTGGTTAAAATAGGTTTTGGGTTTCCTGAATCAGTTCTGATTCAGAATGAAAACTCTAAACCTGAAGCTTTAGATGAACACCTCATTAAGTGTTTCCTCACCCCCTTAGAGGGGCAGCAGAGCTGCTGTGCAGCGTGGCGAGACCTGAAGAATTACTGCATTGAGTCACAAGCTTGTGCAAAATCAGGGGTTGACATTCAAAAAGAGATGACTGAGTAGAAATTTCTGTTGAATGCAGGTAACTGCTGAGGTATTCTTTCATTCTGACCTATAATAGCATCTTTTTTTTCCTTTCTTTCCTTTTCATTGGTAATACAAAAATGCATGACAGTGCTGCAGGACAACTGTCTCACAATATTGAGACCTTCTTGCACAGAAGCAGTTTCACAAAGCAAGCTGAATTCATTTCGTGAGTGAAAGAATTGCTATGATTTGGTGGCTGTTGGGTGTTTGTGAAGCAAAGTAGAATGTGGTTTTGGTGTAGAACTTATAGCACCTGCATCGTGACTACCCTCATTCCTTCTAACTTGTCCCTGCAGTTCTGTCTTTCAGGTGTCTGTTGTTCTGCTTTGGTGATCTTCACCTGCAATGAATTTACTTTAGAAAGCAATTGTTGTGCCCTTTGCTGCCAGTCTCTTATAGTCTGGGAATAAAATTCAGGTCTTTACCTGAGAAGGACCTTGTGAAATAAAGCTCGTGGCTGGCATTAACTGTAAATCACATTGATTTTCAAGACCAAGAAGTGTGCGTGTGTATTTGTCTGTCTGGCCCTGGAGCCTGCGCTCTGTTCTGCTCAGGCTGTTGATTAGATGATGTCCAGAGTGAAGAACAGTGTGTGTGTGTCCTGCAGTGCAGCATCTCTCCTTGCCTGCAGATTAACCTGTGCTTATTCTGTTGCAGAGAGGAAGCCAGGGAACCAGACTCCTGGAGCACCTTGTCTCACACTGTGCACTCGGGGGACTACAGCGTGAAGCACCACCGTGGACTTGATGTTTACATGCTGACTGCTGAAACCAAGGAAGGGGAAGCAGCCAACTGGGAAAGCGACATACGGCACCTTCAGATGCACATGCAGAGCCATCAGCACATGGTAAGGAACAGGGTGAGGTGGATTAAAGAGAAATGGAGCTGGCTGGCTGCAGCTTGGCATCTGGCGAGGTCTTACGTATGTAGGCACCCTACAGGGGCATATTTACCTGTGTGTTTTCTCTGGATGTCACTGTCAAACATCCAGGTGGACACCTGACTCTTTTCTTCTATTTGAGCATGGGGAGATCTGATAAAGCTGTATTAGGCATCAGACTTTGTCTCTCAGAAGAGAATCAGGTTTGTGGCTGTGCAAGGCTGGCTCTGCTTGGCCTTGTGGGCTCTCTCTGCTCCCACCCTTTCTCTGCATCAGGTTGGGACCCACTTGGATGGCCAAGGAAACCTCCCTGGAGGCACAGTGTTCATCCAGCCTGTCTGGTGGCTGTCATTATAAGGCAGGCTCTGGGGTGAGGCTGGGTTTGAAGGGGATGAGCACCATGGGTATGTCTCTGTTCAGGGTCAGAGACCCTGAGGGGAAGGTCTCTGGAGCAAGTGATGGAGAAAACAGCTATTTCCTTAGCACCTTGGTGTAGGACTCTGAGGGCAAGCCTACCCTGGCCACATGAAGTGCATGTCCGTAGTGGTCCCCTCACTGTGCTCCTCTCAGACTCCACAGTAATTGGTCCCCAGGAGCCATGAGGCTTTGGAAGGGCTTCGTCTCTCTGCTTTAGAATCAGTGCCACGGGGTCTTGGTTGGGATGGGAAGGTCAACCAGCAGCTCACTTCTGTGCCCCTTCTCAGAAACGGCTCCATGTCTTGCTCTGCAGGCATCCCCTGTGGGTCTTCCTTCATCAGCTCTGTTACAGAGGTGGGGGATCTAAATAGCAAGCTATTTTTGTTCCTTTAAATAGGGAAGAGGAGAGTTGTTGTCTACAGGCAGTGGGCTGGGGGGGAGCTTGAGGTGTGGGCCACCCTGGGCTGTTTTCACCCTTCCCTCGGTATCTGAGATGTTAATTACTCCTGAACTCAACAGGAGCTGATGACATGAGTTGCAAACCCAGGCTAACCATGAAATCATTTCCTCTTTCCATCAAAAGACACTAAAGCATGGCTGGCACATCCAGCTCGCTGCTTGTTTGTTCGTGCAAGTGCCAGATGGGTACATTTTGCCTGACAATGAAATCAGAAAAAGACTTTTTCTTTCCAGCACTGTTTCGCTTCACATCTAATCTGATTTGAATTTGGAAAGCGGCCCTGTAATTATTTCATTTAGGTTCATTTCGGGTCAGTTAAAAGCCAGTTGGCTTCCTTTGGAGACGGCTCTATGTTTCAGGCTCTTGGCAGAGTGATTTCACAGTGAAGATGCTGGGGCTGCTGTGGACCCTCTCAAGCAAGCATCGCTGTGTCTGTCTGTCCATCCTGGCTGTGTTGTCTGTGTCTGTCTGATCCTGGCTGGGAACCAGCATCACAGTCTGTGCTGCACTGCAGGGTTATAGCCATCAGACAGCCAGCACACTGCTGGATCCTGTTTGTTTGCTCTTGCAAATAATAGCAGCAGCCTGTGAGTACTGCTGCATGCAGAGCCTTGCATCCTGTCTCTGGTGCCACATGATGGATGGAGATACCATGCTGCCTGTCTCTGATGCTAACCTGTCTTGGGTGGCAGCATAAAGGGGAGCTGGGTAGCCGGAATATTTTGATAGAAGATCTTGGCAAACACCAGAAGTATGTTTAGTGGTCAGTGATTCAGTTGTGCTCATCGCTTGCAAACCTCAGAGCATGGAAAGATGAGTAAACACAATATCCTCAATGTAACAGGGATGATTTTAACTACTTCTTGTATATGCAATATCCAGAAGTTCCCTGTGATGCATCAATTAACATGTTGGCCATTTTAGGATTTGGGGGAGAAAAGAGGTGTTTAAGCTGATATTTTTGGTATGAAATTCTTTTTCTCTGAGAACTTAAAACTTACGGACCTTAAAACTTAACTTAGGGACCTAAGTTAGGCTGCGAGGCTGCATGTGGTTTTGGGGACTACTTTTACAAATAGATGCAAAAAGTAACAGAGCTGAAATAGTTCATTGGGGTTTTGTATTTGTGGAGAGTCACCGGCCCTTAAGAGGGAAACCATCATGACATCTGCCAGCTTACAGTGCAGAACCCCAAGTAGATCAAGGGAGCTCTGCAGGGTGTGCACTGAAGGATTGAGGTCACTCATTACTTTAAGTAGTCACTTTTTGTAAGATGTGAACATCTGTGTGCTGCAGAAAGAGAATAAAACAAGGAGATATCGAAACAGATGAGGGTTTTTAAGTAAAGGTTTGATTGTGTCGAACTATTAAAAGATTGGGGGGATCCTTGCTGAAGCAGGCTCTGGAAGGAAAATGCAGATAAGGAATTGAATATGTTGCTACTGCTCCATGGTGCTGCAGGTAGTAATTTAAATAGTATGTCAGAATTTTCTGGTCTTTATTTCCATTTAGGAAAAAAGTTTCAGGTATTTAATGATTTAGGAAATAAATTTTAGATATTTAATTATTTGGGAATTAAATTTCAGATATTCAGTTATGCATTCAATTATGGAATAGATTACATGGTTAGTTCAGTCCTGTTTGGACATCATCAGCCCATTCCCGTGTCTGAAGTAGTATTTCCATCAATATGGACAAAATGAGCAATACTGATGAGAACTGGGGAGTGCCATTGGGCGGATCTGAATTTGCTCTTAAGCAGCATTTGCTCAAGCCCTTTGGCACTAGGCAGGTATATATATTTGCATTATTTGATAGACTAAATTCTGCTGTTTACTGATCTTGAATTTAAGTGCACTCAAGAAATATGACTACAGCTGCTTAAGGAGCAATAACAAATATTACAGTTCTCAGTGGTGGCAGATGGTGTCACAAGGGAGTAGAGGGATGAATTTCACCTTCGGGGTGTTCAGGCTGGCTCCTAGGAAAAACTTCTTCATGGGAGGATGGCGTGGCATGGGAATAGGTTGCCCAGAATGGTGCTGGTACTCCATCATGGGAGGAGTATCTCTGGGGGATTGGCAAGGTAAAATCTTGGTTGACCTGATTGCATTGGCGATAGTCCAGCTTCATGAGGAGGCTGCACTAGATGACCTCCAGATGCTCTCCGTTCTCTCATTCTAAGGATTTCAGTATTACTGCATAACAAAACCAACACATAACGTACTTTGTTATGTTTGTAACACCGTCCCAGGCAGCACCAGGTAGAGGTTCAGAGGCAGCAGGAGTTGCATGGGGTGGGATTATGTAGATATAGATCTTGTATGTGGTGGAGGCAGTGTAAATGTGTGACAGAGCAAACTGATCTCTTTTTGTTTTGTTTTTGTGTTGTTGCAGAGTTTAAGGCAGCATTCAGAGCCTGTGCTGGGAGATTCTGGAGACAGCTGTGCTAAGGGGCCAGAGCCAGATGGTTACCCGACGACTACTTCGCAGAACCTGGAAGAACTGGCAAGAGAAGGAAGGCAGGAAAGTCCATCCGATCCTGTTCATCTGGACATTGGGCAGCTCTCAGACCAAACACACCAGGAGGAGAGGTGCAACAGCAGGAGTTTGGGAGCTTTTAATGATGTGCCAAATGACTTGCTGAGCCTGGGGGATGCACAGAACCCAGAGTGCTTCTGTGAAAGTAAAAATGTGACGTTGAGTAAAAAGGAAGAGGAGGGGCTGACCTCCGCTGAAGGCTCTGGGGCTGCATCGGGTGAGAAGGGCTGCACGGGGAGCCTGTTTGCAAGTGCAAATGGTGCCGTAAATCTTCCGTCCTGTGGAAATACAAATAAGGAAGCTGGAATGACATCTGCTGGAGTTGTTCTGGATCAAGCTGGCTTGTGCGGTGAAGACAGGCCCCATCAGGAAGCGCAAGGTGCTGAGGAGCATTCAGCTGCTTCTGTGGTTGAAACTGCAGGTGAAACCCCAGCTTCCTTGGAGGGCGTGGATGTGGCTATGGGCCAAACTGAATGCAGGAACTGTGCAGGGGCAGCAGAGAGGGCTGGGGGACAGCAGCAGGCAGAGGGTGGGATAGCTGAGGCCGGTGAAAAGAGGACTGTAAACCTAAAGCAACAGTTGCCAGCTAAGGAAGAGTCATCCAGTTCTGCTCAGCCCTTACTGAGTGCTTTTAATGGTACTGAGCATGCAGATGGGGAGGATGAAGATGTGGGAGTGGTACCAGCATGTGATGATACGAATGCAGATGCTGGCACTGGAGAGCTCTCTGATGACCTGTGCAAGACTGTTGATAACAAGGAGACTGGAGCAGACTCATGCACTAATCAAGTAAACAGTGGCTTCTTGGAAAGCCAAGGTGATGCCCATGTCACAGCAAGTTGGAATGTTACTGTGAGCACTGGGGCAGCATTGCCAGCAGTGAATGGGGTGAAGGTTCCTGCATGTGCATCACAACCTGCTTCTGGTTTGGAAATCAGTGGCAAGAGTGGGGAGCAAGAAGAGCAGGTGGAAGCAGGTTGCATGGATAGGAAATCCAGCTTGCCCTCACTGGAAGACAGTGTAGAAACTAATGGCCCTGATGCTAAACCTGAAAACGATGATGTTGGTGGATCTAATGGAAGCAATGAGGAACCTGCATGTGGCCAGGAGAACAGTAAGATCATTGAACGTGTGGCTGAAGCAATGGAGGGCAGTGAAGCCCATGAGGAGGAGCCAGTAGGAACTGATACCAGCAGCAGTGGAGACGGAGGAAGCGCAGATTCTTCAGGCGGAGGTCAGGAAGTTGCTGGCGGTTGCCCTTGTGCTGATCAAACTGTTGTTAAAGATGAAATGGGCGACAGCTTCAAACCGGATGCTGCTCAAGAGAGCGAACAAGAGCCTGCATCGCTCCCTCCGGAGGTTGCAAGCGCATGCCTGACAGAAAAAGAGCCTGCACAAACTGAGGTAGCAGGAAGTACTTTGGAGCAGGAGGGGCTGAATGGCGAGATGGAATCACCCAGAGGAGAGGGACCCTCTGTGAGTCAGGAGGGAGATGCTGCAGTGGCACCTCTGGGGCAGGAGGCAGCTCTGCAAGGTAATGACCCTGGATTAGCTCCCTGTGCCAAGGGCGCAGACTGTGCAGAGGATAATTTAGTGGGCACACCCTCTGCAATTCACATTGGAGAACCTCAACAAAACCAGGAAGCAGTGGCGGCAGCGGCAGGCTCGGCAGAGCTGGCCTGGCAGCACGGTGGGGAGCATGGCAGCGTAGCTGCTGTTGCTGGGTGGCCTGGGGACCATGCAGGGGATGAGGGGTCTCCAGAGCAGAGCCTCTCACAGCAGGCTGAAGGAGGCAAAGCTGAGCCTGAGCAGGAGGCCTGTGCAAGCGGCAGGGAGCAGGTTTTGTTGGAGGAATTTCTTGCTGTGAAACCCTCTGTCTGCAGTAAGGGGGGGGCTGTGGCAAACAGCAGCGATGCGGATGCTGGGCTGAAAGGGGCAGTCTGTGCTGAAGAAGTGTGCAAGGCTGGGGCAGTGGGTGCAGGAGAAGGCATCATGCACAGACCTGCATCAGCAGGTGAGTCACCGGGTGTGGAGAGCAGATACAGCCCTGGTCCAGATACAGGGCTGAACCAGGAACATGATCCTAGTCAAACCCTGCAACAAACCTCCCTGTGCAGCGGCACCCCTGAGTTAAAGGATGCTTCAGAAATGGGAGCCCCGAGCGATGCCTGTGAGGGTAAGGAAGCGTTAAGGCCGGTGACAATACCTCCTATTGCAACGTATCCAGAAGAGCAGGAGGATAAGGAAAGCGTGCTTCCCCGCGCAGCGCTTCAGCCCATTGCAGAGGAGCCCACGTGTGACAGCGACTCCAGCACCGACACTGTTTGTCCTGTCAGCGAGACCGACGCTGGTCCTGCTGCAGAAGCAGCTCAGGGGGAGGTCTCAGCTGGGCCCAGTGGAGAGCAAAGTCAAGCTGTACCTGCATCGCCCTTCTCACCGTGTTCGTGCCGTTTACGTGCTGTTGAGTCACTGGAAAATGTGGGAGTGAAGAGTTTGGTTGCGGCAGATGGTGGCTCGTCTCTGGATAAAGGTCCTAAAATGGTGAAGAGTTTTGATGCAGTGGTTTTTGCAGCAGAGACACCTTGTTCCCCTGAATTACCAGCCACAGAGAAAGCAGGGCTTGAGCCCCAGGCTGCAGTGGATGTGGGAGCCAGCCTGGATGGAGAAATGGATGTAAGTTCCTTGACAAAGAAGAGGAACAGCAGCCTGGCAGTGCAACGAGCTGAGCCTGTTACAGGTAGGAGAAATCATTTGGCTTCCTACTTTTTAGTTTTCCCTTTGTAGGTGTGCCTCAACTGTTTCAGCAGCAAAGGAAGGGAAGTAAGAGCAGGAGGCCTGCCTTGCAGAGGAAGTGTAGGTGTTAGGGTTTTTTCCTCTGAGAAGGAAGAAATCTGAAGTTAAAACTTCCCGTTCGTGTTGCTTGGCTGCCGCTGGAGGTAGGGACAGGACATCACCTCCTGTGAATTTGTGTAGCATTTCTAGCATGTGAATCCTCCCTGGAGAAGGAATGAATGGGAGGGAGCTATTTGGATCACTTTATCTTCAAGTTACAAGCTTTCACGCCTGGCATGAGGATTGATTTGCTTAGCTTATCCCTTTGCTTCTCCCCTTTACTTTTGCTCGCGAGGAGTCAGAGGGTACAACTGCGCGCTGTCGCGTTTCCTTTGCTTGGCTGCTTGAACCAGCTGCCAGTGTCCTTCTGAACTGCACAAAGGCACTTCCCAATTGGCAGCATTAGGTCATTTCAACCAGCGAGCCCTACCCCCCGCCGCCTTTTCCGGCCTGGGAGGCTTTTTTTTGTCAGGCAGAGCAGCCGGTGGTGTTTTCTGCTGCCTTCAAAGCAGTGCTGGAGCTCGGATGATGAGTTCTGCCTGCTGCTGGGAAGCGGGACCGGTGTTCCCTGTGGATGAGCGGTGGGATTTGAGGGGCAGCGTAGACGCCTCATGCAACAGGAGGTAATAGAAAACATCACCAGGTAACTGCAAAAAGGGGTAAATGAAAGAGGACTGGGTTTGTTGCTCCAGCCTGGGATTAAATCAGAGGTGAATTTGGTGCTGGAGCATGGGGCTAATCTGATCTCTGTATTCCACCTGTTCAGGCAGCTGTTGAATGGGAGCAGCTGAACTTTTTCAGTTCCCATTTTTTTTCTTTGCTATGAGAAAATGATTCAGTGCCTCTTGCTTCACGTGCACCAACCAAACAACATTTAAATGATTAAAATGAAGTCTGATATAAATCATGAGGTTGTAAAGCTATTCCACTGCTTTCGTGCTGAGAGCTCTTTCTTCAGTCTAAATGCAGGATGGGATGCTGGAAGAGGATTTGGTCCTGATGTGTGATAGCAGAATAACTGGGGGCAGGGGAAGAGATTATATGGGGGCACAGGGGTGGGTCCAGCAAATCCTTTTTGTGTTGAGTTTGGTATTTTAGGAAGTTTATATGTCAGGAGGTCACCAGTAGACATTATTCAGGAGGTCACTGGTAAATAAGTAGGAGGATTTAAAGGTGGATTAGAAAGCTGTTTTCAGATAGAACGCATTTCAGTGCTGTGACAGTTCGGCAGTTCAATGGGACGGGAGTGGCTGTCAGTCAGTACCTGACAGGGCCCCTTCTGGGAGCCTCCCGTGGTGCTGGGTTCATCCATACAGTCCAGGTCTGTGTCTCTGGCTGGATTCTTGGAGGCATGATGCTGTCTAGGTGAGGTTTTAAAAGGAGAAGGGACTAGGCATTCCAGTAAGGTAGTAACTGAAGTACGAAAGTAATAATAAGGAATCATTCTGTGTTAGGGTACGGGAAAGGAGGTGATCCTGTTACTGATTTAAAGTAAAATGTCTTAGAATATAACAGTCTGACCTCTCCATAAGGAAGAATTGTTTGTTTGCAATGTGATTTCAGCTAGAATATCTTCTCTTTAAGAACTTCTCAGGCAAAATGTTAGGGAAGCCCAAATCAAATACTGACTTAAAGCAGAGCCAAGTGACTGCTATGAATCCAAGCTCACGATTTGAAACATTTCTGAAACTCACCTTCTAAAAGGCAGCATCTAGAACTCTGATTTGGCAGTAATTCAAGAGAACAGATTTATTGCTCATTGTTACTGCTGTGTACGTGCTTCATGTTGATGTCAAAGCTTTGGGTAGTGCATTCTATGTACTAGTTCAGTGGCAGCCTACGATTCTTTGCGTAAGTTGTTCTTTGCTGTGTCGATGCCGGGGAGCTTTCCCTGCAGCCTAGGTCTGTGCAGTGTTTTGTAGCCACACAGGAGTCGTCAGTGCTCAGAATGAATCAGATCTTTTTTCAATAGACTACAATAAAGCCTTCCCAAAGGAAGGGTAGGTCACAAGGCTGTTCCTCAGGAACATGTGTGGTCAGAGGGTTCTATTGTCATTCTGATTTATCGGAGAAGTAACTGGCTGATAATTGCTGGTGCCATTGCTCCAAATCAGTGAGGGTTTTTTAGTTTCTTATTTATATTGTCAAATTGCTTTCAAATATTTACCTGTTTCTCTCATTGCCTTCACTTAGTTTCAGCCTACCCCCAAAACAGAGACTTCAAAGGACTGATTTCCTTATCCAGCCCAGTGTCTAGTGGCTGGTCACAGTGCTGAAGGAAGGCAACGAAGCTGGCAGGTCCCACTTACATAAGGCAGCTCCTCATGCTTTTAGCTTTAGACTCAGAACTGCTGAGTAATGGGTTCTGCAAGCACATTATTTGCAAGTCAGGCAGATAAATGCTACTCATTAAAAAAGCTGGCAGTTAGGATATGAAATCATACCACAGGCAGGCTGGGTGGGAAGAGACGGTGTGTGTTTATGCTGACAAAACACCTCGGAATAGATGCAGCTTCTTAGGAGAAAGTGACCCCAGCAAGGTTTGGTTGTATGGTTGGCATTTGGCATCTTAAATTAAGAGTTACTGTAATCAGTGCTCCCTAGCTGTCCTCCTGGGAGAAATATCCCTAGTGTGTCTCTTGCAGATCTCAGCATTTAAAGAAAATGTTCATTGCCAGAGAGAATAATAGTGTATCGTTTTGAGTTTAATCAGTCTTCACCTCATTCTCATCAGTGGCATTTTCCCTATGGAAAAGCACTTACTCCAACTTCCTTCCTCTGTTAGAGTAGCAGGATAAACCGGTAGCATGTCATTAATGATATCACGCACGCAATAAGGTTCTCTGTGCTCAGAGAGACCTCTGTGATAGCATTATAGTGCTTTTTGTTTGAGATAGAAGTTTAGGAAGAAGTGGCAGAGTGCAAAAAATCACGCCCTTGAATTTCATCCTGAGGACAAGTCTTCATTCTCCAGTTCTTAGCCAGCCTGGTGTATCACTACACCACTTGCTTCTCTCTTAAGTGCATCAAAGGTTTCTTCCTTGTGTGTTCTGTCTTTGCACCAAGATCTAAACCATCACAGCATTGCTGTGACCCTGAGCAGATCTCCTCATGACCATGATCTCTGCTTTGCCAATAAACAGGACTCAGGAATACGTAGCATAACCTCTGATTTCTGAGTCTGCCTCCAAACCCATCTAATTGAGACAAAATCATACCTGTTTGACTTAATGATGTTGGATTAGTTCATCAATGGAACGTTGCAAAACCAGGTGGTCCCAAAATCAAGGGTAGACTTTAAAATCATTGGTGACAGTTGTTACAGCAATTTCCCTGTGAAGCTGGGAGGCTTCTCTTGCTAAATCCCTGAATGGGTAAGCTCATCGCAAGCACAGATTGCCCCTAAGAAGGTGTTGTCATCCATCCAGTGTTTGTTTTTAGTAGAAACAAGAGAGGGAGCAGGATTAGAGAGGGCTTAACCCTAACACAGCCACTCTCCATCTGGGTGGCTTTGGTCAACTTGCTTTACTCCTCTCAAAGTATCCTGTATGTTGTGAGAGTCGTTAGCTTAGCATTAGGAGGAGCATTAGGACATTGACTTCATGCAGGAAAAGGTACACAGAAGGAACCCCAGGGGAATGATGACTAAGGAAAGCTTTGGGCAGAGAAAGCAGCTGGGGCATGATGTTTGTACCACTGTTGTGGTGACACCATCAGGAAGGAGAAAATGAGCTGGGACTTCCTAGTCCGGGGGCCTAATAGTGATCCTTGAGGCAGTGCAGGTGAATTTTTGAAGCTTGTGATGTGTTTTTCCTTCTAACACTTCAGATACCTGTTAAGAGAAGGCAAGGCTGGTTTCTTGCATTATCTTTGAGCTGTGGTAAGAAGAAAAACAGCAAAAATTTTGGTCCTTTAACTAGACGAATGAGAGCCAAGAAAATACGTGGGCAAATCCATGGGGATGTGCTCAGCCTCATCTAGAGCTTTTCAGGAGGTTTACCCTGTGCTTGCTGCTGTTTCATAGTTTCCTTCAGTCCCAGACATGGTAGTTGTTAAAACTAATAGCAAACAAGCAGCGGAGTTTGGAATGAAACCAGATGTTGGAGTCAAACGGACTTGTTGAAGGGGTTTTGGGGCTGGGTTTTCTCTTTCCTTTCTTTGAGAGTGGTTTGAATAAGCAGAGGAAGATCAGCGGTGCTGAAAGGAGTTTGTTTTTCAATTGCCTGTGCAAACCCTCTGTTTTCACAGGGAACTTGGAAATGAAAACCGAAGACGAGGTGGATTTTCTGAAGGATCAGGAGGAGCGTGCAGTCCGCGAGGCAGCGGTGAGTGCCACTGATGTTATGTGTCACCTTGCCTTTTTCTGTGCTCTTTAAAGAGCTGCCACCACTGGTGTGGGAGGCCACGTAACCTGTTTCCTTTCTGTAGCATTTGCAAAGCTGAGCGGCGCCCATCACCCTGATGTTGTTTTAGCCTTTTAAAAATAGTCTGGGCTTTTTTAGACCTCGTGTTTTTCAACCACTGGATTAAGCCCCATTTGTCTCAGTTGGTGACAGCGAGATTGACCCAAGAGGTTCCTCCTGAGGCAGGCTTGCACCAAGGTTTGTATATTATTTGACAGAAGCCATGCCCTGTAATGCACTTGGGGTTAAAGATGCTCTGTGGAGACTGGCAGCACCTTCCAGGTCCCGGCTGCTATGTGCATGGTTCTGGCGAGTTTGTCCATCCCTTTCCATGCATTGGCCATCTGTGGCTGTGGTCAGTGTTTGTGCGTGCACAGGCTGAGGTGTAAAGGTGGCACTGCCTGAGAGCATGAGTGCCTTTGCTGGAATTAAAATCAATAATGGGAAAGACATCCAGGGATTTAATGTGGGGGGACACGGACACCCTCTATTCCTCATGTTGGTGAAACTATGAAGAAGTCATGCCAGGGATCAAAAATCAGTTGATTACCTGTGCTTTGCCATATTTAAGGTTTGTCTAGGATAAAAATGTGAATGTTCTGGTTGACAGGAACATAATTTTGCTTTAAAGCACCCCTAATACATACTCTGCTTTATCAAGAGCAGGGTTTTTTTTTTGTCTTATCTTTCCGAGCTGGATTTGCATTTGCTCTGATGTTTATATATAGTTTCTTGTTCCTAAAGAAGAAAGTGTTTCATAAATGCCAAGTTGTCAGTGCACGTTGCTGCTGAGCAGCTGTGTTTGTGTGTTAGCGTACCATTATGAAGCTGTTAGAAGAGAATACTGCGGGGATGAGCTAACATTGCAGGGTGGAGCACAAAAAGCTTTGCTCATCCCACAGTAAAGCTCTTTAGGCGGCAGAAGAGTCTTGCCAAAGCTTGTAATAAAATCAGGTTTATTATGTTTTTAACAAGTTAAGGCTTCATTTCTGTAGCTGTTTGCTTGGTGAGTTAGCCAGTGACTAGAGCAAGTAACTTTCCAAGCTCAAGTTTCTGCTGTCTGATAAGTAGGTCTTTCATTACTGGAGTGCATTAGTGCAAAGATGCTGATGATTTGATTTTACTAACCCTTTAATAAAGATAATTTTCATGACTAATACTGAGGTATCTAGTCGTAAAGTAAGATATCTTTAGAAAATGCATATTAGGGCACTGTCTTTCCGTTTCAAACAGGGGAAAGCCAAAAATGGAACGTATTGAAGTTGGCTTCCATCTTGCATGTTTTACAGGCATTTTGATTTTGTGCATGTCTGCTTGCTTCTCTTCTTCCTCTCCCTCCCATCCCATCAACCACCTCTTTAGAAATCTGGCTTTTCTGGTGCAGGAATGGGAGTGCCAGGGGAATGGAAAGTTTGCTGCAGGACTGACAGGGTTTCCTGTTGCTAAGTTGAACAGAAACAAAATAACAACTGCACTATATTAAGGTCACTTAAAAAAAATAGGTATCAGTGGAAGACTTATAAATAGAGCTTAATTCACACGTGTAGGTTGGGCAGGGAGCTGCTGAAAGCCATCGCAAAGTGTGCATCTCCTGCCACGTCCTGTCTCTGCTTTATTTAGTGCTGGCTCTTTCTGTAGCCAGAAGTCTTTCAGGTGCTCATTGCCTTCTCATTGCAGAGCCATTCTGTGGTTAGTAAAAGTGGTTTTCTTAACTGGTTGCAAATAGAACTGATGTTGCTTGTACCTGGTCAGGAGCTGCAGGGATTCGGCAGTCTCAGGGGTGCTGTCAGCAGCTTTGGAGCTGGGGAACTGCATTAACTCCTTGTTTGTGGGTGAGGATTTTGCATTGGTGTCCATATTTATAAATATGCAATGTGGAAACCTGTGGACTATTAAAAAAATCCATGGTTTGGAGCTTAAAAAGTGCAACTTCTTGTGTGTGTATATATATATAGTGCAGTCAGACTGGGTGACAGTACATTTGAGCACACTGGAAAGGAGGATAATTACTTCTCATGAGTTGGCTTCTAAAGGCTGAGAATTAGCTGGATTTGTGATGCCAGTGTTACATGTGCTAGATCGCACATGCTGTCCTCTGTACTTGTTTCAGGCTTTGCCTGAGTGAGTCTCATCTGCATGTCAGAACGCTGCAGCTGAAAAATGTTTAGGAAAATAATGGTTTATAGGGTTATAAGCACTGAAAACAGTAGGAAAATAGTTTTTTTTTCCAATTAAAATGGGGTTTGAAACTGTCTCTTTAGCTGTCCAGAATGTTTTCTCAGAGGTTGTATTTGTCCAGCTGTAGATATTCTGGAACCAGCATTTCCCAAGCTCCTTTCATGTTGAGTGGTGGGTGCCCATCCTGCCGGAACTCCTGCGGTCCTTATCCTCTTGCTTTGGGGATCTTGGGTAGAGATGGTGCAATAACTTGGTGTGATCCATTAACGTTAGACTTGAGCATTTTTGTAAGTGAGTAACTTTGAGTTCTTAACTCAGATGAGAAATGTGGTTTGGCTTCTGCATAGTGTGATGTTAAAACATTTAGAAATGGCACTCCAGCATTATGAAAGTAAAGTGGCAGTGTGAAATGAGCTGTACCCTGATGTACTTCTCTTCTTGTGTTGATCCCAGAAATCAGTTATGAGTCATTATTTGCTGAACCCTTGTCTTCGTGCGGAGGATGGATAAGGTTGTGCTGCTGGGTTCATCCGAAGGCTTCGGTTGTCTAAGCCTGTGACTGACAAATTGTAGCTGGCTGACCCCAGAAAGAGAGTTCAGTGGGAAGTAGCCTTCTTGTTGTATTTATAAATCTCATTAGTTAGTTCCTATTAAATTTAATGCATCCTACCTTTATCACATGAATTAGTTTTTAATTAATGTATTTCCAGAAGTTGCAGCCTACCAGCTTAAAGTGGTATTTCTAAATACCACTGACCCAAGTAGTGCAGAAACGTGTGATGTATCAGCAAGGTCACTTTCTGGGGGAAGACTTGCAGTATTTTCAGGCAGGATTTGGAAGATGGAAGTATGTTTATAACACTCTCAGATGACATCAGGTTGGGAGGGGTTACAGGCACCTGGGAGAACAGGGTCAGGGTTCAGAGTGACCTTATGAAATTGGAGAGTGCATCCAGATAAGAGATAAAAGCCACCACAGAGTGTTACATTTGCAAAAAGAACTCAGACTGCATATTTATTAAGTCAGGTTTAAGCTGGAGAGGGATGAGTAGAAAAAGACTGAGGGTTTTTTTAGTGGACCACAAATGAATCATCAGCAAGAGGCTGTTGCAAAAGAGGCAAATCTTGTTTTGATTTATATTGAAGGAGTGTCCTCCGTAAGGTGCAGGAGGTAATTTACTCGTGTGTGGCACTACAGAGGCATCATCAGTGTCATCAAACCAGGGGTTGGGTGCCCTGCTCCAGGGAGGACACAGACATACTGGAAAGTGTCCAGAAGGAAAAGTAAGAAGATGAAGAAACCTGAGAAGAGGTTGAAAGAATTAAATTTGTTCAGTGCAACAAAAAGAAAACTATTGTGCAATCGAGTGTGCTGCCAGCATGTAATAGTGGTTATTAAAGTCCCAGATTTCTATGGCAGCTTAATTTACTGATTTGCTAATTTGCCAGGATGATTTAGGCTGGATGTTGAGAAAATATCTTGTTATAATCATCAAGCTGTCGCAAGACCACCTAGGGAGGTTAGGAAACCACCTTCCCTGGAAGATGTTATGGATAAGATAGATGATGCTCTGTCAGGACACAGCCCCAGGCCTTTTGTTGCCCATTGCTTTTGCTTTGTAAACCTCCAGGTCTATGCAGGGAGAAGAGTAGGGAGCAGTTTGGTCAGAGTCCAAAAGGGTGTGCAAAGGAAGGGGACAGGGATGGCAGGGCTGTAGGAGATGGGAAGAGGGGATGACCTGGACTGGGTGGAAGAGGGCTTGTGGGAGACAGACCCACGCAGCACTGGGATGGATGTTGGGATGCACAGTAGGTGTGGAGGATCCAGAGATTTTCCTCCCCACCTCTCAGCTGCAGTGTTCCAAATTTACCTTCTCTGAGTCAGCAGGTAATAGAGAAAGTTATGGCCAAGGTGTACAGTGTCACCCCCATCTAGTGGCCTGTCCCTGGGAGGAGAGCCTTCATGGCTCAAAGCTGCTGAACCTTGTTGGTGACGCGAGGCAAGGGGCTGTGCTAGTTCTTCAGGCTCCAGTCTATATAACTCACCATGATGACCTGACAGAATTCAACTTGTCTGTGTGCACTGATATCCTCTATCTGCATATGTGTACTATGTACTATGGGATGGTGGCTGCAAATCACTGTTTCCAGAGGGCCTACAGATCAGTGTGTGGTGCTTCCCAATGGGCAATTTCAGAGTGAGTGTGGCTGATTATGTGATGGGGGTCTGGTGGTGGAAAGTGCAGCCTTAGCAATAGGCTGTGCCTCTTTAAAATCGCTGTGTAACTCTCTCTTTGTAAGTGTTGTCTTGTAACTACAGTAAACGTGGAAAAACTCAGCCAAAAAAGAACCTGCCCTAAGCCTGGAGTTAATGCTAAAGGGTGACACACACAAACCCATCAGGACAGGGCTAATCATCTGCGAAGCCCTTTCTCACACCCACCAGCATCCTGTGTCTGCCCCGGATGCTCAGAGCAGGGGCTCGAGAGATGTAGGAGGAAATTGTGTCATGACAGTCAGCCCCTGAGTAAATTCATCTCTCTGCAGGATACATCGCTCTGGGTTTTACCATCTGTACTGTGCGTTGCTGAGTAAGCCGCTCAGTCCACAGTATGTGCTGCAGGGAGTTAGAATAGAATAGAAGCAGGGGGAAAGAAAAGAAAAAGATTCAAAGCAGGCTGGGATTCTTGTTTGGCCTTTGCTATTACTCATGCATTGAAATCTGTAGAAGGAAGGCGTTGATA